CAAAGCGGAGGTTCATGCTTAACATCAGGAAGAGGTGGCTGAAGTTTCTAGGACAGGAATGGAAGCCTGGGGAATCTGATGCACACGAGTCAAATAGAGGGAAATCGAGACATTCCTGGTCGGCTTGAGCAGGTGGATGACAGAATGTGGTCTGTGGTAGGAAGCAGAGGAAAGGAACGCTGCAAGTTATGGAGGGAGGTGGAGAGCCATGATCGTCTACGTCCTGAAAGGACATGGCATATAAAAAGAAGATCAAATCTTATTTTATTCAAATTTCTAACCAGCAATTGATATGGCATTTTCATAATGACCTGTTGAAAGTGTTTATGTGACTTTGAAGGCGACATGTTCATTATGTCCAGAAGAGCGTGTCAGGGTTTGTTTTGTTTGTTTTTTTTAATGCCCATCTACGAAAGATTTTTCACGCACAACAATCTCTAGTGATCATAGAGACTGGTTCGAAAAAAATAATCAGGGAGTTGGTATTGCTTGTTGATGAGGGGAATGGTCAGACCAGTTGTGTTGGATAGAAAAGCCGCAGTAGCTCAAATAACCTCTTTTGACAACGGAGGTATGCTGGACAGGAGGATTTCTTTGGTGACAAAGAAAAGGATACTGAGCTGTTGCGTGACATCAGCTCTTATTTACGGCAGGTAATTGGGGTAAATATGGCGACAAAGATGAGGACAATAGTCCGAATAATGTAAACAGTGTACATACTACCTCATCTCAGAAATATAGACAGATACTGAAGGATTTTATACTTGTAAAATCTATAATACTCAAGGTAATTTTTTATATACTGTATGTCTGTTACCTTCTTTGTTATCTGGACGTTCTTTTAGAGAAATCTTTTCAACGGAATCGAATCACAAGTCACGCGTTGGTTCTACTCACGTTACCCAAATTAAAGCATTTGTATCGGGATATTTATTAGGTGAATCTTCCCGTAATGAAACGCTACCGCTAATTAAATGGTTGCTAATTAATCTTAGGAATGGGCTATCTACGATAGATTTTTGGCGGGGGGAGGTCTTAATTTTTGTGTCATTCTTGTGCATGCGTCATGATTAACGACAGAAAATCAGTTACGTGGCGTGATGGATCTTCACACTCAGATTCTTCCATTATTAATGCAGACGATAACCTGGTGAGTTTTTTGAATATATATATATATATATATATATATATATATATATATATATATATATATATATATATATTTGTTGCTTTTGTCATCACTATCTCTTTCACTACGCTAATTTTTTTACTAATGATGAACATATGCGAGGCGTTGTCCAAGGGTGGGCTGACAAGTTCATAGGTTGATTATGAAGGAGTGATGCCAGAACTGTGAAATCTTGCATGCATTCACTTCAACACTTCTTATTAATAACTGCATTGTTTCTTTCCAGTTACGAAGATAGGGCTGAAAAGTTCATAGACTGACTATGATGGAGCGAGATAGAGATGTGGTAACTTGCATACATTAATTTCAACACTTCTTATTAATAACTGCACTGATTCTCTCCAGGTAAACCGTCATCTGCCTATGGAAAGAATTTTTCAAAAGTAACTAGGAACAACTCTTGAAAATGTACAAAAATTGGCATCGGGCTGTTATGAAGTATCTGCAGAAAGACTGTTTAGCCTCGCCCCGACCACCACCTCAAATACATTCGTACTGACATAGTTGCTAGATTAGGGAATGACGCCCAGCATTATCAATAGTGCAAAAGTGGATAGCTGCATTTAAGAAGAAAATAGAGAGTCTTGATAATGGCCCAAGATCTGGACTTCTGCCACCACCAATGAAGACATTGATTGGATTCAGCTCGTAGTGATGAATGACAGGCAACTGACAAGAAATAAAATAGTCCCTTCTTTACCGATCTATCTATCTATCTATCTATCTATCTATCCCACTTTTCTTTATCTATCTATCCATCCGCGTCCAGGGTAAGACGATAAACTACGTCCAGCAGCAAGTCCTCTGATCAGGAGGTTTTTAGGAGCATGGAATCATCTCTTAATTGCTGGTGTTCCCAGGTTCACCCTGATCCGGGTTGGTAGCTCCTGTTAGGATTCCAGCTATGGGCAAACAGTTAACACCCATACTTGTGTAAAAATAGGTTTTAATACTAGAAATACTTTGTAATAAAAAATGGTTCAAATATATATGTATACACACCTTTTTTTACTATGAATCTATTTCAAAATTTTGTTGGCATTAAATGACCCACTGAGGTTGATATGCCATGAAACAAAACAACCAACCAAACATCTATCTATCTATCTATCTATCTATCTATCTATCTATCTATCTATCTATCTATCTATCTCACGCTTTTCTTCTTCTCTCTATCTATCTATCTATCTATCTATCTATCTATCTATCTATCTATAGCACTTTTCTTTATCTATCTATCTATTTATCTATCTATCTCAGTCTTTTACCAACATATCTAACTATCTACCTATATATCTAGATATCCAGTCTTTTATCTATATATATATATATATATATATATATATATAGAGAGAGAGAGAGAGATAGATAGATAGATAGATAGATAGATAGATAGATAATATTAGTGGTAAATATACACATACATATGAAAAATATATAAAAAATATATTTGCATACACATACATATATATTTTTTGGAATAAAAAATTCCAAGAGGATAGAATCCAGGTAGAACTCATTGTCCAGGACAGAGTAAGGATATAATAAAAAGGCTAAAACACTTATATTGCCATGGTCATAATTTATCAATTTATTTATCAAATTATGACCATGGAATATTAGTGTTTAAGCCTTTTTTATTTTATATATATATATATATGTGTGTGTGTGTGTGTGTGTGTGTGTATATATGTATGTATGTATGTATGTATGTATAGTTAAATTGTCACCAATTTATATATTTAATTTCGCGCATGCGCTTTGTTTCTCATTTTGTCGACTGCAGAGTATCGTAGAGTCAGTCTGTGAGAAAAAGAGCACCCTGCCGCAATTCACTCCGCCAGAAATTTGGAAACGGCAGGCAGCGCTGCTTAGCTTTCGTGCCGGAATCTCCAATACGAACATTTCAAATTGTTTGGGTGTCAATCTGAGGACAGTGCAGAGGATTCGAAAAAAATTGGATGAGTCTAATAGTGACTACAAATAGTGATGGCGACGTTATGCCGCCATTCATCTTCTCTCGGGGCCTCAGACTATTCACTGTGGCCTACATCAAGTGCCTTGATGAGGGGGTGCTGCCTTGGGTCAAGAGGGTGACTGATGCAAGAAGCTATGCCTGGCAACTGGACTCTGCACCATGCCACACAAGGAGGAGAACACAGACAATTTCTGAGATCTCATCACCCCTAACATCTGGCACACTTAACTCCCCAGATTGCAACCCCCTTGATTATTATGTGTGGGGCGCAGTTGAACGAGAGACAAACAAAACTCCTTGTAACACAAAAGACGAACGGAAAGCAAGGTTTATGGCAGCACTCACCAACTTTGGAGACCGTGGTTGAAACCAATGGCAATTTTATTGGATAAATTTGCTCTTTCGTATTTCAAGATATTTTTTGTGTAATTTGGGCGAATATATGTTTTAAAATGAGATAACAGTGTTATTTGCATTTTTGCGTAATTTAGACGACAATTTATCCATCGCACTGTGTGTGTGTGTATATATATATATATATATATATATATATATAGGGGAAAATAGCTTTGTGAAGATCAATAGAAGTGAAGAGAATATATATATATATATATAGATGTATATATCATTATCTTATATATCATTCTCTTCAATAAGAGTGATATATACATCATTCTCATATATATATATATATATATATATATATATATATATATATATATATATATATCTTCAATGAGAATGATATATATATATCATTCTCTTATATATATATATATATATATATATATATATATATATATTCTCTTCATTGAGAATGAGATATATATATCATTTTCTTATATATATGTATATATATCATAATCTTCAATGAGAATGATATATATATATATTTATCATTCTTTTATATATATATATATCATTCTTTTATATATATATATATATATATCATTCTCTTATATATATATATACATCATTCTATTATATATATATATATATATATATATATATATATATATCTTCACTTCTATTGATCTTCAAAGAGCTCTTTTCCTTCCTATACATACCTTTGATTTCTTTTTCCTCTTCTTCCCATTCTTTCTCTGTTTACTCACTTCTTAGTTTCTTTTTTTTTCTTTCTTACTCTTTGTCTTTTCTTTTCTTTTCTTTCTTATTGTCTAATGCATAACAAAACATGAAAACATATTTGTCGCCGACATTGTCAGACACTTTTTCACAGAAGACTGCATTTCCCAACAATACCCAATAACCATTTATCAGAAAATACCATTTATTACTGAAGGTTGGGTAGAACTCGCCGACCGACTTGATCACAGCTATTGAATGGACCTGGGAGATAGCCATTGGAGCCTGCACATATACAAAGAATTCATTCGAGCTCTTTCCCGCCGCAAAGTGCCACCATTGTTCACGGTAGAGACGTCACCACCTCGTTTTATATCTCTTTTCATTCGACGTGAAACAGGATGAATATAAGCTATGTCATGCATTTAAATGTGCAGTACGGTATAAAAAAGACCCTATTAAATTCCTATAGACAGTAAACACGTGTGTGGTTCAATCTTTTTTCCCAATCACCATAAATCGAATACAATGGTGTACTGATTCGGATAGCCACACCTATTTTCGATGTTAACCGTAATGAAATTTTAAACTAATATACACGAGGCGGCCTGAAAACTCCTCCTATTTAGTTCGACGGAAACTGCAACAGATACAAGTAGCAGAATAATAACAAGAACAGGTTTTACTGCTACAAAATAGCTATTTGTCCACAGTGTCACTCCGACTGGCTAAACATACTCGTTAAAAATGATCATATCTATCTATCTATTACAATCTATTCATATGTATGTATGTATGTATCTATCTATCTATCTACCTATCTATCTCACTTTTTACTCTATCCATATTTCTTATCTATCTATCTATCTATCTATCTATCTATCTATCTATCTCAGTTTTTCCTGTATCCTTCTTTCTTATCCATCTATCTATCTATCTATCTATCTATCTATCTATCTCAGTTTTTCCTGTATCCTTCTTTCTTATCCATCTATCTATCTATCTATCTATCTATCTATCTATCTCAGTTTTTCCTGTATCCTTCTTTCTTATCCATCTATCTATCTATCTATCTATCTATCTATCTATCTATCTCAGTTTTTCCTGTATCCTTCTTTCTTATCCATCTATCTATCTATCTATCTATCTATCTATCTATCTATCTATCTATCTATCTCAGTTTTTCCTGTATCCTTCTTTCTTATCCATCTATCTATCTATCTATCTATCTATCTATCTATCTATCTATCTCAGTTTTTCCTGTATCCTTCTTTCTTATCCATCTATCTATCTATCTATCTATCTATCTATCTATCTATCTATCTCAGTTTTTCCTGTATCCTTCTTTCTTATCCATCTATCTATCTATCTATCTATCTATCTATCTATCTCAGTTTTTCCTGTATCCTTCTTTCTTATCCATCTATCTATCTATCTATCTATCTATCTATCTATCTATCTATCTATCTATTTATCTGTAGTTTTTTTCCTTATCCTTCTTTTCTTATCTATCTATCTATCTATCTATCTATCTATCTATCTCAGTTTTTTCCTGTATCCTTCTTTCTTATCCATCTATCTATCTATCTATCTATCCATCTATCTATCTCAGTTTTTCCTGTATCCTTCTTTCTTATCTATCTATCTATCTATCTATCTATCTATCTCAGTTTTTCCTGTATCCTTCTTTCTTATCCATCTATATATCTATCTATCTATCTATCTATCTATCTATCTATCTCAGTTTTTCCTGTATCCTTCTTTCTTATCCATCTATCTATCTATCTATCTATCTATCTATCTATCTATCTATCTATCTATCTCAGTTTTTCCTGTATCCTTCTTTCTTATCTATCTATCTATCTATCTATCTATCTCAGTTTTTCCTGTATCCTTCTTTCTTATCCATCTATCTATCTATCTATCTATCTATCTATCTATCTATCTATCTATCTATCTCAGTTTTTCCTGTATCCTTCTTCTTTATCCATTATCTATCTATCTATCTATCTATCTATCTATCTATCTATCTATCTATCTATCTCAGTTTTTCCTGTATCCTTCTTTCTTATCCATCTATCTATCTATCTATCTGCAGTTGCTTTTGATAACTGAATTACAATGCTTAGTAATTACAGTAGATGCACTGATAGATAGATAGATAGATAGATAGATAGATAGATAGATAGATAGATAGATAGATAGATAGATAAATGTAGGAAAATATTTGGGCTTAAGAACTTTAGTACAATATTGCAGTAAAAAGCATAAATATTAATACTGGCCTATGTTTTAAGAAGTAAGGGGATACAACTGAAAAGATTTCAAACTGACAACTTTTTCCATTTCACTGAAACAGACGTTAAACACAAGTGTCTTATCGCCTCTTCTATCTTTCCCACTTTCTTTTTCTCACTCAATCTAAATACCATCTCTAATATGTCATTTCCGACTTTCCCCACGTTCAGAACGGAATAGTCCATTACTTACGAGGTATTGTTAGATTTGGAGATATCTTAATGTTGTGAGGGAGAATATGTCCCAACAAGTTTGAACTGGGCCGACGGATAGAAGACATAAAAATACTCCTACATCAAGAGGAGTAGCAGCAGTACCTTTTGCTGAAAACCTTCATTCACGGCTAAACTCAGCAAACCACTGAAAAACCAGCAATTTTGGATGGCACAGTGGATAAAGGCGTTGGTTAGATCCTGTGACAGGACCCAAAGAGTGTGAGTTCAATACCCGGTTAAGGCAGTGGAGAACTTTAAGAGGGAAATTAACAGGAGATAACTGATAACTGACATCCATCAAACATGGTACGTCGAACTAGAACAGTCTACCCCAGTGAGCGAAATAAAGGGTTCAGTTCGACATTCCAACAGCGGCCGAAACGTTGCGACAAAGATGAGGACAATAGTCAAATTTTATCATATAATTTAATACTTATTGGTTAGAATAAATTCTATTTTAGTATAACCCCAACTTTAAAGCTCTTAATAGCTATTATAACCTTACTTCATTGTCAAGTTTTTTTAATTCTCTTATACTTGTGTTTTGATTGGTCATTCTAGCTTTTGTAACGTTTTCCCCTTTCGAAGGACCGTTAATTAATTTGAAACTTTTAAAACCATTTGTTTTGCATTCAACATCATCACTTGATAACACACCGGAGGTGTTGAAACAAAATGGCTATTTTTGTAGTAATTTTATAATATATTTATGTTATAATTTTTAAATAAATAATTATATATATATATATATATATGTGTGTGTGTGTGTGTGTGTGTGTGTGTGTGTGTGTATTCATTCTTTCTAAGGAATTTTATTCCCATTTTCTATGAATTCTTGGATTTTATGAGGTCTCGAGTTTTCGATTTTACACCGGCGCCGATGGACAATCATGATGTAATAATAAAAATTAGACTGTGTCGCCTAATTGATTAACATCTGGGGACTAATGATAACAAGATCCTTGAATCTATCATATTTATCGTTACATTTTAGTTCTCTCTAATTCTTTGTTGTTTACACCCGGCGAACGGCTGCGGATGCCTCCTTAACGTTGCTGCCCTTACATTCTCATCTGTGATCTTCCAGCGACTGCCTAATTTTATATAACTGCGTCTATCATGAATCTTTCTCACGCTTGTAAAACGGCTTCTTACTTTGTGATATAATAAAGCTTAAGTCGGTAAGGATTTTAGAAAGCCTCTGAGGATTGAACATATAATTGTTATGTTGTATCGGAGGTGCTTGAAATCCCATATGGAGACAACTATTTTCCTTATATTATAAATGTCTATGTTTAAAAGCATTAAGTAAGAACTGTCGTCATATTGTTTTTATTGATGCTTTTGTGGCGAATTTAAAATGAGAAAAAATAATGTCAGAAATCTTGATTCATAGAAAAACGAATATTTTTTAAATAATTTATTCGGTTCAGTTTATCAAAGTGCTATGTAGATGCTGGCTAAGTAACATAAAAATCAAATTGAAATGTTATCCATGAAAAATATTATATTTTAAAATGTATCTGGTCGAGAGGCGACTGGTATAATATAAGTATAATATAAGCAAGAAAAAATGTTTTTAAGTGATTTTAATGTTAAAATTGAAAAGTAAAACTGAAAACTAAACAATATATTTTAATATAGCCTAAAATTTAAAATAAGAATTCTCTTGGGACAGAAACATTAATGTCAATAATTATATACACAGACATACATATACATATATATAACGGCTTGGATTGAGGAATCGGAGAGCCGAGTTCGAATTCCAGTCGAATCCATTACATTCATTTACGTGCTAATACCCTTGGGAAAGGTGTGAATCCTCTTCTTCTCCTTCCAGCTATGGGTAAATAGCAGAACAGACTGGTTCCTATAGCCTTGGATGGCTACTGGTCTAGGAGAAGAACAACTCTGAATTCAAAATCTGCAGAGGGTCGTTGTGGCCCTTCAAAAAGTATGGATGGTCCTGCACGAAACCTTCATAATCAAATCTCGTGCTGTTGTCGGGCTGTCGGTTTCCTAGGAACTGATCTGCTTGACCCTCATACGTCGAATTCGACGGGAGAGTCGAGTATATATATATATATATATATATATACTAATGCATATTTGAGCAGCACCCTTTCTTTTAAACATCTTTCAACGGACAAGGGGAAATTTTTTAATTGTTTCTCCAATTTTCTCAGCCTTCTTACATTTTTTTAATTTGGTGGAAGTCAGCGAATACAAAACCAGTCCATATCGTCGAATGTCTCAAGGGCTTTCCGCCAATTGTTAGCCATTTTCATGGGAACTCATTTTGCTGTATTTAATTCATTTTCATGTTTTAACTGTGTGAATATATCATTTTTGAATTATATTAACAGCGATTCCGAGTCAGCTTGTGTTGGGCATGGCTGGAATTCGAGTAAGCAATTTTCTATTTTCAAAAGACTTTAAGTAATCTGTTACCATTATTAAACAAGGTGAGGGTGATGGTTGGGGAGATTTGTTTAATGTAAAAGGCATCTCTTATAACGAGATGTTTTCGGAATTTTGATTTACAAATGACTCTAGTGTTATCGATTAATACCTTTCTTAAGGGCTCTTGTAGATTATGGCTTAATAAATGTTTTTTATAGAGCTTTTCTCTGATAAGTGACATGTGAGGCGTCTAGTCAACACTTCGTTATAAGAGAGTATATCAGTTCATTGCAAAGGTTCACGCCCGATTTTCATTGTTAATGTAAAATGACTGCAACTTGATACTGGCGTGTTCTAGATTGAAACTTTGTATCGTTTAGTTGTGAGGTAGACTTGGTTGAATGTTGATGTTTTTCCTACAAATGAATGTCTGCAAACATGGAGGATTGAAGGTTGCACTTTCGATATATTATGCTCTGTGAATTTCGAAAAGAAGAGTGGGGACAGCTGCAGAAAAGACAACAAATAAATAATAATTGAGAAGGTTTACTTCAATCATGCTCCAGCTCTTCCGGTGGTAAAAAGAAGTTATATGTCATATGTGATACACGCTTAGGAGATCATGTATCTTTCGATACATGACTGACGAGGCAGATTTTTTTTCCCGCAGTAGGTTGCCATTTCTTTTTGCGGCAGACCAGTTGCCATCCTGCTATTTACCCATGGCTGGGTGGGTGGAGGATTCATACCTTTCCCAAGGGTAATTCATACCTTTCCTGAGTGGTTGCCATCCAAGGCTATAGAACCTGGTCTGTTCTGCTATTTACCTATAGATATTTATCATATAAATAACTAATATATTTGCAAATTAACTTTAGCGCTTAAAATAACAATTAAGTTAGTATTAAAATAAAATCGCACTGTTAGAACATCCCATCTTACCTTTGGTTAATCAGAGAGTTGCTTAACTCTGGTAATTGTCAATCAATATTATTAGCATCATGTTTGGTCTCTACGACAAGAACAGGTAATGGCTCAAGTTGATAGAAGACACATCCTGCGTACGCGCGCATGCGCACTGTGAACGATTGTCTTCTGTTACCCAATTGAACTTTTTCCTGTTACGCAATCAATCTACGTAAAATTTGGCGATGTTTGTGCCTTTGTCCATAACGTTTCCCCAGTGCCTATTAATCACAACTCTAAAATCTTTTGATTCCGTTTAGTTACTAATTGCCAGGTTGTTGGTCGCGTTGCCGGCAATCAAAGGTGGGACTCACAAACACGGCTCGTGCTAAAACAACATCGACAGACATAAACTGGCCAGCCATTAATTACACAGTACTTTGATGGGCGCGGTTCAGCGAACAAAGTTATATGCATTTTCCACAGAATGTGATGTTATTCCGCCCGTGATAATATTTGAACACTAACAGTGTACAAAATAAAGCGTTCAATTCGAACTTCCAATCACCTGAAGAAGGCCAGAGCATACAACGTCGAAAATGTTGTGAATATGGCAAAAAAGATGAGGACAACAGTCCGAAGAATGTAAACAGTGTAAATAATTACAATACCATATCTCAGAAATATAGATAAATCCTGAAGAAGGCCGGAGTGTACAACGGCCGAAACGTCGTGAATATGACAAAAAAGAGGAGGACAACAGTCCGAAGAATGTAAATAGTGTAAATAATTACAATACCTTACCTCAGAAATATAGATAATCCTGAAGAAAGCCGGTGTATACAATAGCCGAAACGTCGTGAATATGGCAAAAAAATGAGAACAACAGTCCGACGAATGTAAATAGCGTAAATAATTAAAATACCTTATCTCAGAAATATAGACAAATTCTGAAGAAGGCCGAAACGTACAACGGCCGAAACGCCGTGAATATGGCAAAAAAAATGAGGACAACAGTCCGAAGAATGTAAATAACGTAAATAATTACAATACCTTATCTCAGAAATATATTCAAAGAATTTCCTTTGTCTATTAGGAATTTATTTTTTGTGTCAGTTGTATTTCAGTTCCTTTTATTGCTTTTTTTGGGGGGGGGTATTTTTGGGTTTTTTTTTTATTTGTAATTTACTGTCATTATGTTGGACTGTCTTCGTTTCCCAACGTTATATACTTGTCAATTTTTATTTCCTAACAACGAATCAGATACAGACATATTATTGTTTTGTTTTG